CTCAAAAGAGATGAGGCCAAATACTGGCAAGAACAAGAAAGAATCGGTAACTTCTACCCAATTCCTACAATTATGGGACAAGAGGAAACTTCTTTAGCATTAATACAATCTCTGAATGTATGAATGGGAGAAATTACCTCACTGAAGAGATTCAAAACTGATAGAAAAACAGAGTATTTTGCCGGCTTAATGCTAGGCAGGTCACCCTTGATACTCCCTCTACTTTATCACCCCTCATAACCGATCAGTCTCCCAAATCTGTTGTTTTTCCTGCTATTCATCTCTTGAATTCATACCCTTCTCTCTGTCCTATCACTGCTCTTGTCCGAACCATCATCATATCTCTTCTGGATACTGCCATAGCCTTCCAACTAGCCTCCTCTATCTAGTCTTACCTCTGAATACAACTGTTCTTTACAATGAATGATTTTTTCCCCCAAAATACAAATATGACTATGCCATTCCCCTGCTCCATATCTTTAATGTTCTTACTGTTCCTAAAGTTGAAAGTCCCCATGTTGGTCAATGAGGCCCTTTAGTATCTAGTCCCTGCCCGCCTCTTCAGCCTTGTCCACTCCTCATTCATGCTTTAGGTGACATTGGCCTTTTTTCCATTCCATGAAAGAATCATGCTCCCTCCTACCATGGGGCCATTCCACCTGCTATTCTCTTCGCCCAGAATCTTCTTTCCAGCCCCAGCTTCCATCTCCTTATCCTTCCTATGAGCTAAAAGTCTCTTCCTATGAGAGTCATTCTCTTCTTCCCCAGATTAGATATGGCTGTCCCCTAAGGCTTTCACAAGCCTTTTTTTTAAATAGCACTTACCGTAATCAATAGTGACATTTCAGTGTTTTATTTATCTGGTTAATATAAATGCTCACCATTTTATCCTCAGGGTCTATCGTAGAGCTAAGCATACAGTAAACTCTCAACAATTATTTGTTGAGTGAAACATTAAATACGAAAGAGAAAATTTTAGCTTATGTAGAGATGTGTGGAACAGTAAGGATTTTCACTAGGGCAAGTAGATTCATAATAATTAGTAATCATGTTAATAGTTATTTTTAGTAGTAATTGTAAATAATAAT